AATGTTGTCATTGTTTGTAAAGTGGAGGGAAAGCACCGGTAGTTTGCATTCAAATTTGAGCGCATTTTGTGATATTTTTGCGCAAAAAACGCTTCAAAAGTGATTGGATTTCAAGGAATCAAGTCTTTAACCAATTGGTGGACAAAGTGTTGACTATTAAAGTCAATTTCACGAGAGAATCAGTAAACAAAAGGGGTCGAAACCAAAATGAATCCAGGTTTAACCTTTGAACCACAGCATTGGACAGTTGTAATATTTGACTGTTCAATATCTTAGACCTGTTTCGACCCCTTTTGTTTACTGATTCTCTCGTGAAATTGACTTTAATATAATTGCAAACAATTTATTGATTCAATCGTTTCATAATTACAACTAATTTTATAAATCGTTAATCAAATGAACTAAAAGTGCATGAAATCAATCAAATGTAAAACAAATGGTTAAAAGCCATCGAAAATACAGTATTTTTTAAGAAATTCATATTTTGTACAAAAGTAGAGACAAATAAAACACTTTTATTAAAAGTATTGAAAAACTTTTGAGACAATTATGAAAGAAATAATAATTAAAATGAAATAATTTATTGAATCAAATGGAAATCAAAGGACAAGATATGGCAACAAATTGACGGCAATTACAGTACTCTTCCTCTAAGACATGGATGTATTGGCCCTAAAAAGGGCCGTTTGATGGATGAGATGATGTGAAGTGATGGACAGGTGTTTAACCGCCGAAGCCGTACAGAGTGCGTCCCTGGCGTTTGAGAGCGTAGACCACATCCATGGCGGTGACAGTCTTCCTCTTGGCGTGCTCGGTGTAAGTGACGGCGTCTCGGATCACGTTCTCGAGGAATACCTTCAGCACACCTCTGGTCTCCTCATAGATCAGACCGGAGATACGTTTGACGCCTCCTCTGCGGGCCAGACGTCTGATGGCGGGTTTGGTGATACCCTGGATGTTATCGCGAAGAACCTTTCGGTGACGTTTGGCGCCTCCTTTTCCCAGACCTTTGCCTCCTTTTCCTCGTCCAGACATTGCTTTCAATGGATTTGACTTTTAGTGCGAAACACAAAATGCAATCAAATGTGAGAAACACTCAGACCTCACACCGGCTTATATATGCACTACACGTACGACACGTAAACTCACGCACTAATACTGCACAACCATTGGCTGCTACGAGTGGCACACGTCTCCACCAATCACTGCACTCACTTCGAGCCAAGCGCTCAGACTTTGAAACTTTTGCGATAACTCTTGTGTCCTATTATTATGATATACTGTATGTTAGTATGAATACCATGATAATAATCACTAAAACACCTAGATCACTTGATCACTTGATCACTTACATAACAACAATTTGACAACTCTTTGCACTCAATTCATGCACTCAATTGCCATACATTTGGTGTGCAATAAGAGAGGATCCAAATCACACGACTTGGACAGCGATTGCCGGGCACTGTGTGTGTGATGGCTGTGATTGGCTGGCAATGAGTCCACATATGGTTCGCTTATGCGCTATAAATAGTAGAGTTTTGGCGCAAAAGTGTTTACAATTGAATTGACTTTGGATTGAGTTTTGTTTGAATTGATTGACTGAACGGTAATAATGTCTGAAACGACGAC